ACGCAGAACTAGGAAATCGAATGAAAGAGGCGTGTCAACAGTGAGTGATTTGAATAGGGATTATGACGAGTACCGCAAATCACAGGTGAGGGGACAACAGTGCCTACAACGACAACAACATCGGATCAGCAAACCATATTCAGTAGTCAATAAGGAAACTTCACTTCCATCATCATGTTCGACATCACAATCTCATTCTGTTGACTACACACCAGCGACGTATCATCGTCGTCATCACTCTCATCAGTTTCCAATCAGCCATCCAACAAATCCCAATAAAACTCTAATAAATGGTACCGTTATTGCCAAAAAAGAGCATCCTACTGAATCATCAGCATATTGCGGGAGATTATCACCTTCAAAACGATCAAAATCAATCGACTTTGATGCTGCTAACTTTAAAACTGGCATTGATTCATCACGCTCTCGTTCACTAATAAACGTTGGTCGTCAATTCCACCCGTCATATTCCCAGTTCACCCTACCATCCGAAAGTTTTCACTCAAAGTTCCATCCTTTTCACCGTTCACTTTGTTTGTCTCAACCTGCACATGAAACATCTGCAATTCGACGTCAACAACGCTCAACCATCGAGTTGGCTTCATTCAACGGTGAAGATTCTCGAAGAGATTTAAAGCGATTAGAAGAGTTAGACAAACTAATTGAAGTCGAACGTCTCAAAAGAAAATTAGCCAAAATGTCGCTTCGACCACATTATCAGCAGTCATCGTCAAGTCGTTCGCAGCGTTCTGCTGCCGAAACAATTTCGAATTGGTCAGTCGCTGAGCCAAGCGCAGGAAATGCAAGTAACTTGCAACGACAGTCAAGACGACAGCTGGTCAGATATCCAACACTTTACGGGCTGCCACCATCCGAAGTGCCAGATGATCGTTACAAGCCCGATCGACCGAGCGTAGAGCGTTCCCTTTCAATAGTATCGAATTATTCGTGTGCAAATGACGCATCAGTTAAATGTCATTGCGGTGATGAAATCAATTCAACAAGAATGAGTGCTAACGGAACAAATTTGTTTGCGTTGAGTACGGCCAATATAAGGTACATTGATGATGACGATGATGTATCATCGAGAAACGCGTCGATGTTTGCTAAAAGAGGTCGACCTAATGACCATTCCTCATCATCGAATACATACAGCTACCACACACCATCACCGCTAAACTCATCAATCAATTCGTTCGACTTTATCGCAGCACCGTATTCGTACTGTGGAACAGCCATGTGTTCTCAACGAGATGGTTCTGATGGCATGCATTCAGTAATTGATCAGCCAGCAATACCTACGGATACGAATGATTTCATGGATAATTTAAGAAATACGTGTCTCCATCAGAATCATAGTCATCAATCCCTATTAGTTCCTATCAACGAACAGTTCCATTCACATCCAACAATGAGTGGTTCAACGCAAAATGTTTATCGAGCTGATAAGAAATACAAAGTCGATGAAGGATTCAGAGTGACGGCATCAAGTCGTGGTCGTTTGAATGCTCGGATCAATCGGAGCTTGAACAGAAATCATTATTGCTGCGGTCGATTTCATCCTGATATTTCGACTGAGAAGAGGATCATCTCACGTTCTTGTGATGGACTGAACATGCAACAATCGTCAACTGGATGCTGTCAATTCAGATTCGATCGTTTTCCAGCAATGCTGCATCGATGCGAAACAGAAACATTGAATTCAATTGATGAGTGCTGTGCGAATAGCCCGGAATTCGGCTCGACTTCATCAACCTCAAATGCAAAACTTTCGCGGATACAAAGTGCTTTTGAACGTGTTTTGAAACGTGCAACATCCTCAATCAGTAATCAACCTTCACGTCTTACTGCACCATATTTATCAATGAATAACCTGATAATCAACGAAAACGATACTGGTTAGTGGAACTTTCACGACTTCATTACTTCTCAGCACTTTCGTTGAGGAACATGCAAAAGCTTTTTAACATAACGCATTCAGGTGAGTTTTTGAATTGAATTGTGAGAGATCGTCGCACAACGCTGTTATGTATTTTCATTAAAGAAGCCTTACCCTTCTCTCGATAACGAAATGGATTAAGCTGTGTTATTGGTAAACCATCATCTTTCTTCAGTTCGAAACGTCATCTATAACAGCTGATCTCTTCGAAAACTTCTTTGATAGTTTGTCGCTATTGCAGTTGTTATATTCTCAAACTCTATGGAAATTTAGTCTGCGGACATTTTCATGGTTACATTATCCTAGTAATACTAAATAGTTACCGACCTTCTGTGATGTGATAATACTTCACGCTGAGTTTAATGGTTTAATGGTGTAAGTGAAGACAGATACGAGAAATTTTATTCTCCTCTCTAAAATAATAGCAGTTTATTCGCGAATAATTTCCTTTGAATTTATTACATTGGTGATATTAGTTGAAAAGAACAAGCAGTTGGCTGTGCTGGTACAAATGAGTAAACAAAATGTAGTTTGTCAGTGCTAGTGTTTGAAATGTTTTTTGGTTACGAATGTTTTTCTTAACTTCCGAACGGAAGGAATCGGTAATCAATACGCAGGACTCACGAGATTGTCACGAAAACAGAAAAGAATTTCCAGTGTTTCACCTTCTATTCTTTATTATCTAATGCTTAAGAATACCTAGCGAAGAGGTTATCTCAACTCTTACTATAATGACATTTGCAATTTCAAGAGATTCGAATCTTAATCGGATGTTTACCTTTGATCATAGTTGAATTGTAAAACGAACCATACTCGTTGAAAGTTCGGATTGAAGTGAAATCAGCTGCGTCAAAAGTTTGCTGTTAGCGTCGATGATATTTTGATGGTATAAACGATGAAATTATCACTAACGATTGACAGAAAATGTGTCACAATTGTTATTCCAGCAAAAATGCACATTTACCGCGTTTGAATGCTGAACCAACGAAGAACGGAGTGTTAAGCGATACGCATATTAACTGTTCAATTCTCCTTCGCATTGATCCGACTGAAAATGGTGAAACGATTTAATCATATGCCACTCTAGATTTTCACCTTGTTTGAAAGGCAATTTTCAAGCGGTCGAAGCTAAGCTTTCAAGTAAATATCAAATAACAAACAAAAAATTGTTGACCATCAAACAGTAAATATCAAAGACTGCTCTTTATCTTCTCGATGTAACTGTACATCTAACGGATTATGATTTCGAATTGATTAGTTAAGTCGAATGTAGAGTACTGGTAATTTGTCGCAGAAAAATGAATTCAGTCATATAAGTACGGAAGTTCTCTGTCGTTCTTTCACTCAGTCTAACCCAGATGAACCGATGTGTATTTACAGAGTTTGTATTTTACGAGAAGTTCGTACACTCTGTCGAATTTGCATTGTACATGTTCAGTTTAATAGAACGTAAATCGTACAAGAGAGTAGTAGTATCGATATCTCCGAATATTAACAGTTACCTATATACTTTGAGTTTTCCTATTGTATGATTCGATTCGTTGATATGGAATGATATGATACGGAAGTGCTTCCTTCGCGATAGTGTTAACAATCGCAGTAATTTACCGTTTCTNTGAGGTCTGTAAGAAACAGCAAAATACAGTATGAAGATTCGCTTCAGTCGACTGATCACCAGTCAATTTGAAACTTCCTAATTTAAGAGATTTGCTAACAATAAGAATTTTCAATGAAGCGTTCAGCAAGAAACGTTTGTCGTTCTGGAATCATTTGAGCTCGTAGAAGTTGCATTTGCCCACTATACGAACAGTTGATGCACTTTGTTGAAAGCATTGGTTGGAGCAGTTGCACCCCGGAGTTATCTCGTTGTGACCCTTCGATTGATGCTTTTCATCGAGTTCGCAAGAATAAAGCAGTTTGATGTGCAGTGTCATTATGATCGCTCTCTATTATGATAACACGAATAATAGTGATCAATCACGCTATTGGCGCCATACATTTCTCAAGGAATCACACAATTTCATTGACGTCAGTACGGAAAGCGATGCGAATAGATTTGGGTGCATTCATCATTTGGTTGAATTTTTTGATTGAGAAGGTGAAACGGCAGGTGAAGAAGAGCAACTCGAGAGCAGAAGCAATGAATACGATATTCCGGTGTGGATTTAAAATATCTGTGACCTCATCCCTCAGATACTTTTTGAATAAATTAACAGTTTTTCCGCATCTTTCTTACAAAGAATATACTGCTGCATATGTTTCTAATCGCTGGTGACATATATCTTACCTATGAAGTAACCATTTGGAATGTTATT